CAAAATCAAGGACGACGCCAGCGGTGTCCTTCGAAGGCTCCATCGCCTCCTTGATGCGCTGCACCACCTCGGACGGAGGGAGCGACTCGTCGACAAGCGTCGTCCCTTCAAACGGCGCTCCGGGCACCATCTGGTGCAGGGGAAGCACGCGCGCCATTAGCGGCGCCACCCTCCTCGCATGGTAGGCACCGATGATCCCCGATCCATCCATGCCCTTGTCCTTCAAAGTTTGGAGGGCAACGAGAAGGTCGTTGATGTTCTTCCTCTCCTTGATCGGGACACCCCACCTCCACGACCCCGGGGCCTCCTTGATGACGCACCCAGAGAAGACTGGCAAGGGGGCAGCGGCGTCATCCTTGACATAGAACCATTGCAAATGCCACCCCTTCTTGGAGGTGGACAGACATATTGACGGGTACGCATCTGCCCGGTTGTTGCGGAGGTGAATGCCGGCGCATCCCACCGGCGCGTGCAGCTCCTGCTTCCCGACCCGCCTCTTCAGAAGGTTGACGGCGAAGATATGCCGCCACAAGTCGAAGTGGGGATCAATCCCCAAGAACCCCTCACACAGGGTGACGAACGCCGCAATGTGCTGGATCCCATTGGGAGTAAGGTGTTGCAGCTCCACCAGGTAGTAATCCAACAGCCCCCGAAGGAACGGGTGAGCAGGTATGGTGAATCCCCACTCATGGAAGTGAGCAAAGGACACGACATACCCTTCGGGTGGCAACGGCTCGTCCTCATCACTGGGCGGCCGCCACTCCTCGGCGGCGGTCAGCGGGCGAAGCAGGCCACAGCGAACAAGGCCCTCTAGGCGCTGAGGGGTGATGCTAGATCTACCCCATGGCTCCATTGAAACGATTGGGAGGGGGGTGGACGCAAGTTCAATGGCGGCTACGATGCGGATGCGAGCATGACGGCGGCCACGATGCGAGTGCGGGAGGCTCTGGCGATTGGCGGTGGAGGTTGACGATGCGAAGGCGAAAAGGCGAAGTACGGAACCCTAGGGGCGAACCCCGTGGTTTTATAGGGGCGACGGATGCGAGAAGGGCAACCGTCCGCCTCGATCTCCAAGCCTGCCACGACACACCGCCGCGTCACGTCGTAGGATACGCGCCAGCGATCCCTATCATTTCCCACTGAAATCGCGCCGAATGGTTCGTCTTCCCGAGCGGATCGGACTCTTTTCCCACAGAGGGGACACGGGTCAGAAAATTTCCCCTCCGGCCTGTATGGGCCCAGGAAGCCCAAGGGTCGGCCCAACAGCCTCGATGGCCATCCCAACAAGGGACAGGACCACTAGCAACTAAGACATATGTACGCGAGCATCAGTAGGGCCTCGTTCCACGGTCAAGCCCCAGCCAGGCAGACCCTGGACGAAATCCCCGTGAACGGGATACCAGGGTTCCCTTAAAGCTTTCCAGTTGATGACAACCGAGTCTCATAGCCTTACCCACGAAGGGTCCAAAACACCCCCCGGGAGATTCTGCCCGAATCACCCTGGGGCTCGGGGGCTACACCCATCGGGTGCGCTCGTGCGCACCCTCTGGCAAACCGAAACACCCCTCGGGCGATTCTGCCTGAATCACCTGGGGGCTCGGGGGCTACACCCATTAGGTGCGCTCGCGCGAACCCTCTGGCGAACCAAAACACCCCCCGGCCGATTCTGCTCGAATCACCCGGGGGCTCAGGGGCTACTGTCGGGGACCTAATACCAGAGTACCTAATGAGGTGGAACCAAAGACCATCGAACGTTGATACTTCCAATCAGACGAGAACGCTACTGCATTTCTTGTCCGAACGATGGAAGACTGGTTCCGCCTCGCCTGACCTCCGAGGCTAGGCTCCGCCTCGCCCGACGGCTAAGGGCTGGCTCCGCCTCGCCCGACCCCCGAGGGCTGCCTCCGCCTCGCCTGACCCTCGAGGGCTGGCTTCGCCTCGCCCGATGTCCGAGGGCAGGCTCCGCCTCGCCCGATGTCCGAGGGCAGGTTCCGCCTCGCCCGACGGCTCAGGGCTGGCTCCGCCTCGCCCGACCCCCGAGGGCGAGCTCCGCCATGTCCGACGTCCGAGGGCAGGTCCCACCTCGCCCGACGGCTGAGGACAGGCTCTGTCTTGCCCGACGGCAGGGGGCAGAGTCCGCCTCGCCCGACGGCTGAGGATAGGCTCCGCGTTGCCCGACGGCCAGGGGCAGAGTCCACCTCGCCTGACGGCTGAGGACGGGCTCCGCCTTACCCGACGGCCGGGGGCAGAGTACACCTCGCCCGACGATTACACCCTGCTCCTTCATAATGATGAGCACAAGGTACGACAGGACATTCAAGTCAAACACAGTACCAAGGACCATGCCCTGCAGCGCTGCAGGAAAGTACTGTCAGGTATGACGGGACGGGAGCTTTAGGCCATTTCGGGCGTGGCAGAGTCCGAATAGTGTTGTAGGCGTCACCTTCAGCCCTCGGATGCGGAACCTGACATAGACATACGACAACCACTCCGGTCCAAGAAGAGACTCGCGCCCTCTACAGTAACGAATGTACAGTCTACGCGTCGTCCGCTCCCCACAAGGATATAGGTCAACACCCTTGTCCGACACGCCACCTAGAGGGGCAGGACGGGACGTGCCACTTGCTGATCTGGTAAGGGCATGGCGTCGTCAGCACACAGCCGTCCGGCGAATGTGCCAATCCCTGACACCGTCTGGCCATGTCAGCGAGGCTAGCTCAGCGGAAAAGGAGGGCCCAACACCTTCGGAGGGGTTTCTTGGCCTCTGGTTTTTCTCCTTTCTCCAACATGTAAACCCCTGCTCCCCCTTGGTCTATAAAAGGGAGGGTAGGGCACCTCGCTAAAGGGACGGATAAGCTCACAGAGAGAGACCAACCGACACGACTCAACAACGCACATCACGCACAGCTGAGCAGCGACCAAGCTCTCGGTGACCTTTCGACCAATCCATCAGAGACTTGGGACCTTTCCCTCTCTCGACCGTTTGTACCCCCTACTACGAACCATTTTCAGCACTAATAACACGAGCAACAGCAGACTGGACGTAGGGACGTTCAGCCTGAACCAATATAAATCTTGTGTCCTTTAGTGCACCATCCAGGCCTAACGCGCAACAATTATAAATTTACTAGCCGGTGTTTGTTTGAAACACCAACACCAACAGCATCGGGTGTGCCGGCGATGTGCCACCTACTCCCCATATGGCCTCCAGCGGAGGCGTCAGCGATCCATACCATCCGCTAGGACGGGATGGGGCTCCATGACCGGCTGACGACGCCCGCGTACAGTGCCAGTGACGAACAGGGTCGTGATGTGGAGCCATCCCCATCGTCATCTACAGGGTCGGCGGGACCCATGTAAAGGAGATGGAAGACATTGCAATCCCGGAAGCCTTCCTCTCCTTGTCTCTCTCTCTCTCCGATGTAACCTACATCTTCCCCTTCATCTATAAAAGGGGAAGCAGGGCACCCAAAGGAGGGGGGCATTCACACACATCTAACGCGTCTGAGCGGCTGGAGGCTTAGGCACTCGACAGTAGACAGAGAACTCAACCAGACTCACTCTTTTCACCAGAGACTAGGGACCTTCTCCCTCTCTCGCCTGTTTGTAACCCCTACTACAAACAAGTGCCGGTAACACGAGCAGCAGCAGACTTGACGTAGGGACGTTCCGTCCAAACCAATATAAATCCTTGTGTCCTCCGAGCACAGCACAGCCATCCGGATCAGACACGCAAACTAGAAATTTACTAGTCGGTGATTCGAAACACCGACATAAACGCTACATATCTATTCATGTTTTATCCTTAACATTTAATAAAATCTCCTCCCTCATTTTAAATTGCAAGTAATTCTAAGTTTTCTAAATATATAAATTTTACTATATATCTAAGCATTTGATATATACACGCATAACAAAAACTATGTACTAGAAAAAGCAAAATAACTTACAACTTAGAACGAAGATATCACATATATCTAGGGATGAAAAATGAGTCGGGTACTTTCTGCTAGCCATGTATTGAATCACGTAGCATAGTTGTATTTTTTTTATATCTAACTATCTGTGTTAGAATGTGAATTCAAGGTGAAAAGGAATAATTATGTATATTAGTATCCATATATATCCATTTGTATTCTGCATCCTATAAAACACAAGAGATTTTGAGTCATCATAAGTCCAACTATCCTAAGTTTGATCACATTTATAGAAAAGAACAGTAATATTTGTGACACCAAATTAGAATCATTAAATATGTTATCAATTTTTTTATAACTTAACTCTTTGTTAATGTAGAAGTTATAATAGTACTCTTCTCTATATACTTAGTTAAACTTAAAATTATTTTTCAGAGAAAAAAAAACCTAGAACATTTTGACTTATAATAAGACAACTAAAAATCCCCAATAATATTTCAACAGTATAATTTTCTTTTATTCAAGTCAACAGTATGCTTTTACTAGTATACACAACGCTGTAGAAGAGTGCCGCCTCTTCATTCTTCGAGGCAGAGGCTGCGACCATCGATGTCCCGAGGAAGCCAGCCAGCCACGTGTCTGGCCGCACATTCAGTCAGCACGCAGCCGCAGCACGCCGTGAGACGAAACCGCTGCTAGCCACGCGAGTACGCAACGCCAGGCGCAGGCTGCGCAAGAATTACCCGCAGGCCGCGGCGGCCGCCCCGGTCGACGATCGTTCAGTCGCGTTGAGTTTTCACCGGTCAGAATCCACTCGCCCCACCCAGTGAGCAGTGGCTACACTCGCAGCCTCGCACGAAACTACGAAAGCGAGCGCAGTGCGCAAGTCGCAAGCGAAGCGCGCGCTTTGTTTTCCTTTCCTACTTCCCCGGCGGCACAGACGCCACTGCTAGCTAGCTGCTACCTAGTTAGCAGAGGAGACCGGAGAGTACCACCGTGCGCGAACAAGCTAGTGAAGAGTACGCCGCCGAGGTGTCCACGTCCGAGCTAGGAAGAAGGCACACGTACGCTCACGCGACGCCGATGGATCGCGGCGGTGCCGGCAGCGCCACGCTGCTGCGGAAGCGGTCGCTGTCCGTAAACACCACCATAGCGTCGGCGGCGGCCGCGGCGATTGATCAGTTCGGGAGCATGCAGGCCGGGGATGTGGCCGCCGCCGTCGAGGAGGAGCCGGTGAGCCCGACGGGGCGGCTGTTCCGGGAGCCGCACTTCCGCTGCCACATCGTGTCCGTGTTCGGCCTCGGCGCGCCGGTCGACCTGCCGGCGCTGCGAGCCGGGGTCGCCGCCACGCTCGCGCGCCACCCACGCTTCTGCAGCGTCCAGGTACATACCGTATACCTTCACCATCACTCCCATCCGGTGCACGGTTTCCTGCGCTACGTGGTCGTGAATCGTGATGAATGAATGAACAAGGAAGAACTAGGCTTCGTCTTTCTCTGCTAAGCTCGCGTCTAACGGTATACAACGTAGCGTGTGAAAAGGAAAAGGAGTAGTTCGCTAGCTCTAGCTTTGACCGTACCTGCCTACCTTAACTTCTATCTTTCGCCTACTGCTAAGGAGCAGGAGTATATATATGTATTATTATCGCTGTCTTGTTTTTTCGCTATATATGTGTGGCATATATTAGGCACAAGTTGAAGTTGGCTCCCTTACGACATCTAAAGGGCTAGCGCTCGTCCGGACGCTAGCTGCTCTCGCATCTGCGTCTGCATCCCATCCCATCCACAACAGCACCTGTGTTCGAACGCGGCACCTCCGAACACAGCATCCTCGACGACCCCCAGCCCAACGCCAATGCCAACGTCGAAGCAAGATGGAGGGAAGGGAAGGGAAGGGAAGGGAAGGGAAGGGAGTGAGAGGAGAGGAGAGCGTGAGGTGCGCCGTGAGAAGAAGAAGCCGAAGCCCTGCGGCAGATCGCTGTTCGCCAGCCACCGGCGCCATTGCAGCATGTGCAACACTCGATCTACTTTTGAAACATTTACAACATACGTCTAAAACAGATGAAACACTTGAAAGCTGAAACATGCAATTGAAACATACATGTATAGCCATTTGCAACATATGCAACACCAATATCTACTTTTGAAACACGAAGATAAAACTTTTGCAACATACGTGTGAAAACACTTGAAACATAAGCTTGCAACATGTATATTTTGTCATTGCAACATATGTAACATCCAAATCTATTTCTGCAACATCCAGATGAAATACTTGAAACAAGTGTTTCAAACGCCTAAAACACTTGAAAACATATGCAACATTAAGATCTAACTTTGCAACATCCAGATAAAACACTTAAAACAAAAAAGTCGAAACGATTAAAACACTTGAAACACAGTGTTCGTCGCGCGGCCACGGCTCAGCTGGTGGGAAACTGTGGTATAGATCGGCGAGGAGAACAGTGAGCGAATGGAAGCTGCCCTAACAGAGGCGCGGGAGTGGCAACAGCGAGGCCTATTTGCGACCTTGAATTCCTTTCCTTTTCCTCCTCCGCTGCATAGGCGGGGCACTTCGGAAAGTAGGTACTCGGAGCGGGGGAACGGGCATCGAGAAGGGGCACTGTGACCGTCCCCACTCCACCTTGCTAGGCATGCTGGCCCCGTTCGCTGGTCTGAACTTTGGCTGAAACTGGCTGAAAAACACTGTTCCGGCTAAATTGTTGTGAGAGAAAAACACTGTTCTGGCTAAAAAAATAAGCCGAACAAGCCAAATTTAACACAAACGAACGAGGCCGCTGTCTCCATCTCGAGCTACGACCTTGGATTCCTCTCGTTCTCCCCCTCTGCATTTGTCGACACTTGAAGAAGAAAAGGCCGCCACCACACTTGAGGAGGGAGAGCGCAGAGAGGCAGGAGAGAGAAAAGAGCTAAGCAGGTGGGTGGTAAGAGAAGGACATGTTATTAACGAGGATGGAGCGGAGCTGTAAAAACGGAAGCGGAGTAGTCCCAAACACCCTCCTTAATTTAACGAAGACCCATCTTTAAATATTGTGTTTCATCCTATGTGTCCGGACATAAGCTACGTCTGAATGCCCTAACTAAACATTATCATTACGACATGGCTGAGTATATATACGTGCATACTAGCTATGTATATGGCAAAACTAGTCCATAAGAAGGGGCCCAGCGGTTCTTTACTATTTCATCTTTTGCAATGTCCAGCCCATAAGGTGGAGCCCACATTAGGGCCCACTAACACATTAAAAAAAATATACCCAACTGTCCAAGCCTCTCCTCCCACGATTCCCCATATCGTGAGCGCCGGCAAATGCGCCGCAAATCGCCCTCCGATGCCCATGCCGCTGCCTCCGCTCGCCTCCGATGCGCAGCCCTCATCCTCGTTGTCGGCGTGTCCCCGCACCTCTCCATCCTCATCCCCGTCGTCGCCCCGCCCTCCGCCGTGGGGACATGGGCCTCGACACTCCTATGCACCTCGTGAACGGCCGGGATGGCGGGCAGCAACCTCAAGGGCGGCGTGGATGGCTGGAGCAGCATCCTCAAGGCCGGGGCGAATTTATCTCCACCGAATCAGACTCGAGCTTCTTCTTCATCTGATCTGCGTTCTCATCCACGCGCAGCCTCGCCGGGGTGCAGACACCAGGGACAGTGACCTCGTCGGGGCGCGGACGTCCAAGACGATGACCTCGCTGGCCTACCGGAGACTCGGACGGAGCTGTTGGGCGCCACCACCAACTGCGGGGGTCGACGGAGCTGTTGGCCATAATAGAGAGAGAACAGGAACAACAGAGAATGATTTTGTATTCTTTATGGGCAGTCCGTATGACTATAAATAGCTTTAACTATACACTAATTGTTGGGTCTACTGTCCTATTCGCTTTGCTGATAAGCTATGATTAAAAATACTATAGATTAATTTATCGTAAGAGAAAAATATAATTTGTCGATCGAAAAAGTATGATTTATAAGTCAAAGCGTACGATACTTCACGTAGCTGATAGAATTTTTTTTATTCTGTGTACTACGTTACGGGCCTTGTTTAGATTGTAAGTTTTTTCACTCTCTCTCCATCACATCAAATCTTTACACACATGCATGGAGTATTAAATATAGATAAAAAATAACTAATTATACAGTTTGATTGTAAATTACGAGATAAATCTTTTGAGACTAGTTAGGCCATAATTGAACAATAATTGTCAAATACAAACTAAAATACTACAGTACCAAATACTAATTCCTAACCCAATCTAAACAAGGCCACAGCTACACTCTTGTTGCTGTAGTCGTAGGCTAGCTTCATTGAACGGTTGTCACGAGAGCTGGTGAAGTGCCAATTCGTGCGTGGTTCACTCATTACTACGGATCATGTCAGATTGTCAGGTCACGTCTGGAGTCTGCTCTTATCCTCGGGTCCACGGTCTACTCCCTCCTTAAAAACATAGGTTGTGTGTCGAAAAAATAGTTCAGGTTATCAAGTTTTTAATAAATAATATTTATATTTATAGATTCAAATTAATTTATTATAAAAATATATTACATAATTAATCTACTAATATTTATTTAATATCATAAGTGTTGATATTTTTTATTTATAATTAATTAAACTTAAGATACTTAAATATGATACTGTGCTGGAATGATATGTTTTTGCGAAGGAGAGGGGGGAGGGGTACATCTTGCGGCAGATAAGTAGGAACTGGGGATTTTTTTTGGTTAGGTGTTCTTCTTGGAAAAGAAAAGTTAAATCCTATTAGGCCTGGTTGAGTTCTCGAATTAAATTTATTTTACTAATTATAATTTAGACACATATTAATTAATTAATGGCTCTATTTGTTTATCTTATAATCTGTACTTTTTGGTTTGTCTTTTCAGCGGAAACAGTGTTTTTCTCTCACAATAAATCGGCCGGAACAATGTTTCAGCTTGTTTTTTAAGCGAATCAAACCGGGCTAATATGCTTGTATATAGATTATATTTGAATATTATTTGTCGGATACCATAAAAAGGGTACCCTAAATAAGAACCGAAAAAAATTGCTTAGACATTGTAAATAACGAAACCAAAATACAACCGCAGATAAACCCGCCACATCCAAGGCCCGGCCCACCTCGAACAACATCCAGGCACAACCGAAGCAGGCTTGGCCTAGAACCATACCACGAGGCCTCGGACGAGCCACCGATTCTCCGACTCGCCCGAGGCCCCGCGCCACGAGGCCTCGGACGAACCACCGATTCTTCGACACGCCTGAGGCCACGCGCCACGAGGCCTCGGACGAGCACCCAGTTACCGACTCGCTCGAGGCTGGCTCAGCATCAACCCCGTCGCCGCTTTGACCGACTTCTCTGACGGGACGTCACATCCAACTGAAGCGTTCAACCACTCCCACAATGTTAGCCGCACGACGGCACAGCACAGCAGAGCGACCGACGAGACAAAAGTCACATCAACGCCCTGCCATCCAGGACAGGACGCGGCGGGGGTTACCGACCGCTATGCTCGGCACTGTGCCCATGACTAACGCCCGTGCTACGCTGTGCTACCTAACCCCTGCTCTAAGGACAGCGCGGCATGAAAAGTCATGCCCAGGACCCTGTAGCCTTGGAATCGACGCACAAGGCCAACTGCTCTCTCCGAGCCTCGGCTAAACCGCTCCTGGGTTCCTATAGCCTCGGGGCTTGCACCCGCCGAGCCCCCCCCCCCCACGATGGCTCAGCCTCTGCACCGACTAGGCCTCGGCTCTCTACGTCACCGATGCGCTGGGACCGGCATGTCGCCCGCAGTACGCGCCATGCCCTGCGTCAGGCTGTAGGAGCTCCCACGTCGTGCACGGGGCCTAGCCCCTGTAGCCTCGGAATCAGCGTACCCACGCCATCGCATCAACCCGGCCTCGGCTCTCCGCGTCGGTCAAACCCACAGCGACCAGCACATCTCCAACAGAAGAAGGCGCGCCTGCCACCACAGGAGCTCCCACGTCGCACGGGATCAAGCGTGACCGGCGCGTCGCTCCAGTGCACGGAGGACAAGACCGCTCCACCGACCACGCCGCCATAGTGACAAGCTGCAGGGCTCGGACATGCCACCTCCGCCAAACAGAAAACGCCACGTAGCAAATACATGTACCGCCCCTGTGCCTCCCTTCGGCTATAAAAGGGAGTGACCGGGGCCGCTCCAAGGGGAGAGAGGGGGAGATCGGATCAGATCACACACACACACACACACACACACACACACACACCGGTGCATGCCACGCACAACACTCTGTAACACGCACGCTCCTTCACTGCGAGAGATCAACATCTCAAGCAACCCACGTCACTCCACGCAGAGACCTAGAACTAGCACCCTCTCTCGCTCAGCTTGTAAGCCCCTACTACAAGCACCTCGGTGCAAGGAATATAAGATTGCTCTCTCAGACTGGACGTAGGGCACCTATTGCCTGAACCAATATAAACCTTGTGTCTCTTTGCATCACCATCCGAGATTAGGAACACGCAGTACACTTTCACTAGTTGGTTGAGGACCCCCCGGTCCAAAACACCGACAGTTGGCACGCCAGATAGGGGGGGGGCTACTGCGTGTCAGCTTAGTCATCCCAACAGATTCCGGATGGTAGACCCCGTGCGACCACTGCGTCTCGGCACGATGATCTGGATCGGGAGCCTAGAGTTCATGTCTCTAGGATATGAGTACGACATGGTACTCCTCCCACCCAGAGCCCCATCGACCGACGATGACATCACGCACCAGCAGCCCAGGCGCAGGCGGCGCCCGAGCCGCCGCTCTCGTCGCGCTCGCCAGGCGCGACATGGGCGGGACCACCTCGACACCACGCAAGTTCAGGGTGACGATCCGCGCTCCGCCAATGTCCCATGCACGGCTATTGGCGCAGAGTCCCTGGCTGGGGACCTGTCTAGCTTAAGCCTCGGCAAGGGAAAGACGCCGGTGGCACGCAGCGACGCCCTGCCATCAAGCTCTGCCCCGCCACCTCCTGAGGAGCCAACTCCGGCGGAGTGGGGCCCGGCAACAACACAATCCCCGTACCTCTTTGGGTTGAGCAATGCCGCAGCGGCCTACGCTTCCGCTCACGCAGAGCTCCTAGGACGCCACCAATGTTCTGCCCTCGACCTCATCGTCACAACCCTGACCCACACCCACGCTGACTCCTCGGAGGAGGATGAGGCATGGGTCGGAGCGGACTTCTCCGGGCTTCATGACCCTGAAGCCATACGTCGCTTTATGGCCACGAGCGACTACTTCTTCGGCTACTCTGACTCCGATGATGAAGATGCTTACGACCCGACTCGTGAGTGCTTTGTGACTATGCCATTTGGTCTCAGAAATGTAGGGGCCACATACCAGCGGTGCATGACCCAGGCCTTTGGTGAGCACATCGGGCGAACCATCGAGGCCTATGTGGACGACATCGTGGTCAAGTCCAGGAGGGCCAGTGACCTCGTCGATGGCTTGGAAGTGCCTCAAAGAGAAGGGCATCAAGCTCAACCCCGAGAAGTGTGTCTTTGGCGTCCCCCGAGGCATGCTCTTGGGGTTCCTAGTCTCGGAGCGCGGCATCGAGGCCAACCCGGAGAAGGTCTCGGCCGTGACCAACATGGGGCCAATCCGAGACCTCAAGGGAGTGCAGAGGGTTATGGGATGCCTTGCGGCCCTGAGCCGCTTCATCTCGTACCTTGGCAAAAAAGGCTTGCCTCTGTACCGACTCTTGAGAAAATCCGAACGCTTTTCTTGGACCCCCGAGGCCGAAGAAGCCCAAACCAAGCTCAAGGCACTGCTCACCAATCCTCCCGTCCTGGTGCCGCCGACCAGGGGCGAGGCCCTCTTACTCCACGTTGCCGCAACAACCCAAGTGGTCAGTGTGGCCGTAGTGGTCGAGAGGCAGGAAGAGGGGCATGCTCTACTCATCCAAGGACCTGTTTATTTCATCAGCGAGGTACTCTCCGAGACTAAGACACGCTACCCCCACATCCACAAGCTGACCCCGCCATGGGAAGGGCCATACATCGTCGCCCAAGTACTAAAGCTCGGGACCTACAAACTAGCCAACGAGAAGGGCGAAATCCTCACCAACGCTTGGAACATAGAACAGCTACGTCGCTTCTACCCTTAAATTCCTAAGCATTGTTTACATTGTTTCTTGAAATACAATAAAGAAGCGTTCTTTAGTTGTTATAATTTTCCGAGAAACCCCCAAGCCCATCGATAGGGGTTCGGCGTTGCAATAACGCTATAAGGGAGACTCGGTTCTGCCTCTTTGGCCTAGATCAAAACTCAGGGTCCCCCCTTCTGTCCTAATCTATTTACATGATCCCTTTGGCCTAGATCAAAACTTAGGATCACCAGCGTCGGCGATCGGCGTAGAAGGAACCACCTCCTCTTCGAACAGCCGGGCCAGCACCGCGCCAGGGGCCTCAGCCGCCTCCACCAGCTTTAGGACCTCCTCCTCGGCCTTCTCGTCATCCTCGGCCACGACGTAACCATCGCTAACAGCCTCAAGGTCGACATCGGCGTAGTGCGAGGAGACAACGGCCAGGGCGCGCTTGACACCCGTATGCAGCGCCCCCCGGAGCCGCTTGTGGACGCGGCCGCTCAACGCGATCAGGCGGCACCTGAGGGAGCTGCCTGACTCGACCCCCTGACCTCCAAGGCCTCACAGGCGATACGGCGCGGCGCTCTACAGCGCGTTGTGCTCCCAGATCTCGGCCTCGAGCACCGCCTGTGCTGCGACGGAAGCCTCGGCTGCCTGGAAGGCCTTCTTCTCCAACCCTGCGCCAAGACAAGCGAGATGGGGTTAAGCACAAAAGGAAACAAGCCAAAC